TTGATTGAGCGCTTCTGGACGAAAGCTCTAGCTATTTCTCCCAAAAGCACCGAAACCATGGTTGCGGTAGTTTTCTGAAATAGATGCCTTTCTAGACATATTCTAGGTTTTTTCCTAGGTAGAGAAAGGCATTAATTACTATAATAGTTTCGATTAGAAATGAAGTTAATTCAGTTGAAAAAACCGTTCTCCTGTTCGGTTTGCCCAGCGCCCTTTCTCACAGAGCTCCTCTTTGGTCACACATAAAGGGTGAGCTTAAAAAGCGGAAAAGCGTCAGAATCTTTATTAAACTACTACCTTTTTAATCCAATAGCTTTATCAGGCTAGATATTTTTGCCAGAACTCACACCGGCGAGCGACCGTACCCTTGTGCTCGATTGTGACAAAGCGTTCCACTTTGATAGCTCCACTCTCTAAAACACATCTCCGAACGCATACAGGTTCCACTTGAAATCAGGGCCACATGGCTTCAAGATCAGGGTCTGAGGACAAGTCAAAATTACTTTAGGAGTTCAAGTCAAGGCAGCTAAAGACAGGGTTAGGAGCAGTCCAGAGCAGCAAAAGCAAAGCAGATCAGGGTTAGATCAGGTCCTAGTCTGGGATCCGGGGTAGGATCAGGGTTAGGTTGGATCTAGCTTGGGACTAGGTCAGGACTGGGACAGATCCAGCTTAGAGTCCAGGATCAGGTCAGAAGGGTCAAAGTTTCATTAGGAGATCAGGAATGAGTTCAAGACCATAATAGGGCAGTCCAGGCAGTAAAAGCAAAGCAGATCAGGGTTAGATCAGATCTAGCTTAGAGTTAGATCAGATCTAGCCTGGAGTTAGATCCGATCTATACTAGGTTTAGATCTGGTCTAATCTGGGGTTTGATCAGATCTAGTCTAGTGTTAGAACAGATTTAGTCAGGGGTTAGATCGGATCTAGTCTTTGGGGTTAGAGCCAGATCTCGGCCGCTGGGGACTGGGTTAGGGGCATGACCGATGGGGACAAGCTGAGTTTATAGTTGGAGCCATGGTTACAAGGCCAGACCAGGGTCTATAGAATGGGGAGGTTAAAGATCAGGGCTAGAAGGCCTCATCAAATTTTCATTGGCTTTAAATTCAGGTTTAAAGCCTTACTCGTGTCCGATGTGTTTGATGCGTTTCACAAGAAGCGGTAACCTCCATCGACACATGAAAACGCATCGATCGTCCGAAATGAAATTGTACTTTTATTTATAACACAATCGGGTTAAAGATCAGATACAAAGCTTGACTAAATCTTACAATTGTTGACGTAAATAAAAGTAAAACTTCTCTATCTCTAGCAGCTTGGCACCTGGCAAGAACTTACTGGCAGCCACAAAATCCTGCTTGAAACAGCGGTTTTACTTGGCTTTCTTATTGAATTGGTCGGCTTTCGGCTGCATATTCAAGCTTCATTATGTTGTAACAATATTCAAATTAAAGACAATTTCATTTCGAACTATTTGATACGTTTTATTAACTTACTTGTAAGGTGGGAGACTTTTCCGAATTGGTAATTTCAGCATAATTGCTCCTGAATAACCGTATTTTGTTGTTAGAAAAGGCAAAGTCAGGAAAATTTTTTGATTTATCTCTCATCATTTCATATTTTTAGAGCTCAAGAGCTTGATGAATTCAATTCACAGAAAAGCATTACTCAAAAGTTGATCAATCAATTGCAATATACCAGAAACGTCACAGAATATCAGAAGTTAGTCAGATGAGAACGTGTGGCAGCGGCCAAAGAGATAAATTCTAATGTTTTTTTGAAAATGGTGATTTTCTATGGTTCAAAAGGTGATTTACTATGGCTTAGTGACGCGCAAGAAATAAAAAAACAGTTTGACTTGGTAGATTTCTTGATCAGGGATTTAATTTGGGAATAGTCTCCGAGGAGTTCGAGCCGTTAGATTGAAATGAAATTCTGGCTACGCCTCTGAGTTAGTCCGATGAGAAACGTGTAGCGAGCATCTTGAGGAGCTAAATTCTAGTTTGTAATGTTTCAAAAGGTGATTTATCCAGAAATCTTATATCAGAAACGTTATATCAGAAAGCTAACATTCAAAGAATTTTCTATTGGGTTGATGAGAATGAAATGGCGCCAAATGAAATGGCGCAGAATGAAACTGGCGTCCGAATAAAATGGCGCCAAATGAAATGGCACCGAATGGAATGGCGCCGGGTGAAATGGCACCGATGGAATGGCGTCGAATGAAATGGCGGCGATGAAATGGTACTAAATGAAGTAGCGTCGAATGCAAATGGTAGTCCGAGTGAAATAGCGCCAAATGAAAATGGCGCCAAATGCAATGGTGTCAAATGAGAATGGCGTCAGGAATGAAATGATTCTTTAAAGACTCTTTGCACCCCTCGTTTGCCACATTTTTGCCTTCTTTAAATACTACGTTTTGTTTCATCAAAGAGTCCGTTATTTCTCTGAAATCAACGCCACTGTGACTGTGTCTGATGCCTGGAAGAGGCCAATGGGATATTGATGGTTTAACTATGCACAATTTCCGCTCATTACTTGCTAGGTGCGTGCTTGCCTCATGGCTTTTCGGAAGGAAAGGTCGAGGTTCAATCGCTTATCCGGGAAATCTACCTTTTCTTGCCAAATTCCTTCACTTCTTTATTATATTTATTCCACAATCGGGTTAAAAGATCAGACACAAAACTTGAATAAATCTTACAATTAAAAATCAATGTTCACTAAAAAGTAGATCGATTTCCCTCAACGGATAAGCGATTTGCTTGGGAAGACCGTATTTGAAAGGGGATACTCGTCGAGGACCTAGGAAAGTTTGTTAAGAATAAGAAGTTAAGAATAAGCAGTTAAGAATGAGAAGTTAAGAATAAGAAAGAAGAATAAGAAGTTAAGAATAAGAAGTTAGAATGAGAAGTTAAGAATGAGAAGTTAAGAATAAGAAGTTAAGAATGAGAAGTTAAGAATGAGAAAGAAGAATAAGAAGTTAAGAATAAGAAGTTAAGAATAAGAAGTTAAGAATAAGAAAGAAGAATAAGAAGTTAAGAATGAGAAGTTAAGAATGAGAAAGAAGAATAAGAAGTTAAGAATAAGAAGTTAAGAATAAGAAGTTAAGAATAAGAAAGAAGAATAAGAAGTTAAGAAAAGAAAGAAGAATGAGAAAGAAGAATAAGAAGTTAAGAATAAGAAGTTAAGAATGAGAAGTTAAGAATGAGAAATTAAGAATAAGAAGTTAAGAATGAGAAGTTAAGAATGAGAAAGAAGAATAAGAAGTTAAGAATAAGAAGTTAAGAATAAGAAGTTAAGAATAAGAAAGAAGAATAAGAAGTTAAGAATAAGCTTAAGAATAAGAATAAGTTAAGAATATTCGCCTGTTATTATCACATTTTAGAAAACCGATAACCAACAAGCTAAGCTACAGTAAACCAAGTCTAAGATCATCATCTTCGTCTAAGATCTTCGTCTAAGATCTTCGTCTAAGATCATCATCTTCGACTTGTTTTACTGTAACTTAGCTTGTAGGTTATCCGTTTTCTAAAATGTGGCTAATTTGGAAAGTTACCATAATCTTTTACTTCAGATTTTGCCCGTTTCACTTTTTCCTAGGAATCTGTGGCGAATTGCCACTGCTCTGCAGTTAATCAAAATTCAATACAAGCTAAAGTTCAAGTTGGTGGATAAACTACCGTAATCAGTCACTAAATGATATTCAGCTGTCCGGTTGTTGTAGCTTGTATGCTTAAAAAACCATTATTTAAGCTTTGCTTTTGAGTGAGTTTGTTGTTCTCCTTTTTTGTGCTTTATCATTCTTTTTCACATTCCAGTGTTGATTTAATTGTGATAGTGCCAAGTTGCTCTAGTTTGAGCGAAGTTGCCCTAATAAGGGAAAGTTGGATAAATTATTACGTTTCAAGAAGACCACCATTGAACCACAACGAGACACGGTCTCACAAGAAATTATATAGATCAAAGCATCACCATATAATTCTTACACGCAGTCCGGGAAACTACTCAAGGGAAAGTTCGCAATGGCACAGAAGTTGATAACTCGTGTCAAAGCCCAAATGACTAGAGCTCTAAATAGTGGCCTTTTGAGTTGAGGAAAGTTCGTTAAAGCTTATTCGAGATTTGGAGGTTGAAAATAACCCCGGAAAAGTTGAAAAATTGCTAACGCAGTCAGATACTGACGTAGCGAAGATGAATAACTACAAAGAAAGAGTAGATGAAATTCGAGATGGAGAAGTTCAAAGTTTTACTCCCGAAGAAGTTGAAGAATGGGGAGAATACCTTGAGGGGAAAGATGAAGATTATGAGAAGTTACTTGACCTAATATTTAATTTGAAATTGGCTATGAAGCAAGCTCGTGAAAAGTCGACTGGACAGCCAAGGGGAAGGACATCCAATGCCTATCATCAATTGCAGCAAAATGCGAGCGATAATGAATCGGACGATGGAAGAGGAGGAATGGCTCAACTTCAACGAGAGTTACTTTCAATTAAACATACCCGATTTTGATGGTAGCTACGAAAATTGGCATAACTATTGGAAAATTTTTGACAAATATGTTCACTCGACGCGCCATGATGATTTAGTAAAGTTAAATGTCCTTACGCAAACGTGTAGAGGCAGCTGTTAGATTCATCAAGAACGCTAGCAAAAACGGCAACTTTTACCAGAGCGCCATCACAAATCTAAAAATTATTATGAGAACCCGCAAATTCAAGAAGCCGCTATCGCTAATGCAATAGAGTCCGTGCCTAGAAGCTCGAATCAAATTGATGATATGTTTAACACATTTTACGACATGAAAAAGTTTACTTGAAATGGGAAACAACGGGCATACGCCTCCTACTGAAACGACGCTGAACGTTCTCAACCAAAGAAATTAACTTTTGGAGGCAGGGAGACCAAACAAAAGTGGCGTACTCGAGCAAAGGGCGGCAGTAGGTAATGGAACGCTTTACGATAAGTAGCAATCAATGTTCACTAAAAAGTAGATCGATTTCCCCTCAACGGATAAGCGATTTGCTTGGGAAGACCGTATTTGAAAAGGGATACTCGTCGAGGACCTAGAAAGTTTGTTAAGAATAAGAAGTTAAGAATAAGCAGTTAAGAATGAGAAGTTAAGAATAAGAAAGAAGAATAAGAAGTTAAGAATAAGAAGTTAAGAATGAGAAGTTAAGAATGAGAAGTTAAGAATAAGAAGTTAAGAATGAGAAGTTAAGAATGAGAAGTGTAGGAATAAGAAGTTAAGAATAAGAAAGAAGAATAAGAAAGAAGAGTAAGAAGTTAAGAATAAGAAGTTAAGAATGAGAAGTTAAGAATGAGAAGTTAAGAATGAGAAGTTAAGAATGAGAAGTTAAGAATGAGAAAGAAGAATAAGAAGTTAAGAATAAGAAGTTAAGAATAAGAAGTTAAGAATAAGAAAGAAGAATAAGAAGTTAAGAATAAGCTTAAGAATAAGAATAAGTTAAGAATATTCGCTTATTATTAGCCACATTTTAGAAAACCGATAGTCAACAAGCTAAGCTACAGTAAAACTAGCCCAAGATCATCATCTTCGTCCAAGATCTTCGTCTAAGATCTTCGTCTAAGATCATCATCTTCGACTTGTTTTACTGTAACTTAGCTTGTTGGTTATCCGTTTTCTAAAATGTGGCTAACTTGGAAAGTTACCATAATCTTTACTTCAGATTTTGCCCGTTTCACTTTTTCCTAGGAATCCTAGGAATCAAACTGTGAATTGTATGGGTTTAAAATTAAGTTATTCGTGACGACGATCTTTTGATCGGACAATCGCGTAGTCGTTAACTGCTTTACTGATAATTTTGTGAAATTCAAAGATAAACTAAACTATTATAGTCATTAATAAAAATAACGGCGAGTCTAGCGAATTTTGCGTATGTTCGCGTAGTCGTTAACTGTCGTTAACTTTATAATTTAGAGCACAAATGACATCTCAAAGCTTGTCCACAAACCCTCAACTCCATCCAGGCGACCTCGCGTAACAGATGTCGTTGTCGTTTCGTCAATTTTCGCAGAATTGTCTAAAAGTTCTTTTCAGTACAGTAAATCTCTTCGAAAACGGTAATTCTACCGCGATTTTCGAGTGCTCTTCGACGAAAGTCAACTCGAAATCTTTTCTCAGCTCAACGATTTCATCGATTGATTTTGAGATTTTCTCCACCGAATCCACGATTTCCAAGCGCCCCTTTTTCAGGGATTTTGTGTAATTTGCATGCCAAACATCGAACATCTCCTAAAAGATTCGATTTTAGCTTGAAATTTAATCATTTTTTTTTGAGAAACCTTAACTTTCGGAGCCAATTTGGCTCCCCACTGATCAATCTCGTCTTTCATTTGGGATTCGGAGATATTCTGAAATAAAAACAATACAATACTCTTTGTTTAAAAGTGCAAATTCAATGATAGACTTAAGATTACCTTTTTGAATTGCTTACTTTTTGAATAATGTCCATAAAGGCGATCCTTTCGGGCATCGAAATCGTCGGCCATTGCACCCATGGAGCCTCGAGATCCGGGTGATTGATTCTGTGAATGAATGGAATTGAATGAATGGAATTGAATGAATGGAATTAGTAAGATGGAAACTTTGTCAAGTGATTAGGTTTGAAGAAATCCTACATCAGGTGCAGGCCTCGGAAAGGTCCGTTCAGTCAGTGCCCAGAATTATAAACCCAGTCCAGGCCCAGGCTAAGCCGTAGACTGTAGTATAAAGCCGGGTCAAAACAAAGCTACGAAGCTCGAGCAAGCCTGTGCCAACCAAACTAGAACATGGCAGAAGGGTTAGCACGAGTTAGGGCAGACTCAGACCCAGGACCAAAATCAGAATAGAGCCGGCCAGGTCCTGGGTTAATCGGGACAAGTCAGACCAATTGTAAGCTAAGATCAGAACCAAAACAGTCAAAAAAAGAAGAAAAAGGGGTTTTCCACAAAGGCACTTCTGCTTTTTCTGACTTTCGGCATTAGTACTGAGCCTAGGGTTAGTCCAAGCCTAGGGTTAGTCCAAGCCCAAGCCAAAGTTATGGCAATGGCTCACAATTTGACAAGGCCAAGCTTTAAGCTAAGGGTACTGTTAAAGTCGAGTTCAAAAGTTCTGTCTAACTATAGTACCGTATGCAGTACAAAAAAGGCTTACCTAAATATCTCAAAAGGATTGAACTCCAGTCCGTACTCTTCGATGAATTTCCGGATCAATTTCGTGGGCACTTTCCCGCAACGAGCGTTTATCGGCTGAATTTCTTTCTCCTATAATCTTTCTCCTACTTTCCAATACCGACTTTCAATTTGCGAATCTTTTCCCAATATCCCAAATTGTTCATTTGAAGCACTTCCATCACTTTCGGCAGGCACATTTTCACCTTCATCTTTTCGGTTTTTAAATTGAATTCGGCGATCGTGAGGGAATATTTTCGTTCAGAAAGGAAACGCTTGTATTCGGTCTGAAAAGGTTTAACGGTTTATTGGTTTATAAAAAGAAAAGGTTTAACGGCTATTGATTCAGCTATTCAGCTATCTTTTTAGCTTTTAACTTTCTACTCCTAACTTCAAATGATAAAGCTTGTCCAATGGTAAAATTGAGATTGTTGTTGAATAATGTTGAACAATGAATGCTGCCAATCAAGAATCGATGATGTCAATCAACAATGAATGTTGTGAATCAACAATGAATGTTGTGAATCAACAATCAATGATGTCAATCAAGAATCAACGCTGTCAATCAAGAATCAATGCTGTCAATCAAGAATCAATGCTGTCAATCAACAATCAATGATGTCAATCAAGAATCAACGCTGTCAATCAAGAATCAATGCTGTCAATCAAGAATCAATGCTGTCAATCAACAATCAATGATGTCAATCAAGAATCAACGCTGTCAATCAAGAATCAATGCTGTCAATCAACAATCAACGCTGTCAATCAACAATCAATGCTGTCAATCAACAATCAACGCTGTCAATCAACGATCAATGTTGAATATTCGTTGCATTTACTGTATTTCAGTTTAAAGCTCATTTCTTTGTTTGATTTTTTTCTTACTTTGTTTGATTTCAATGACTCTTTTTGAACTGAACAAAGTGATTTCTGGAAAGTGTTCTTTAAGCGTGCTTAAACGTGTAAACGCACGCTTTATGGCGCACTAAATTTCTCGTTTTTCTGACAATTGTATGGTGTAATTGGTTTGAAATTGGGAAAGAGAGATCATCCAGGCTTTTTGAGGCGTACTTTGAGGCGTACTTTGAGATGTACTTTGAGGGGTGCTTTGGGGCGTGCTTTGAGGCGTACTTTGGAAACGTACTTTGAGGCGTACTTTGAGGCTTTGTACTTGCAAACGAACCCTTCCTGGCGGACTTAATTCTTCATTTTACACAGCAATGAATCACTGTTGCAAGATCATTGACTGTATGGTGCAAGAAGAAGGGGTTGACCCACTTGTGAGCCCAAACCCACAGGCTCTAAGCCAGGGCATTACTGATTCGGATCCCCACTACGAGAGCAAAGCATAAGACACTATCTTGGCGGAAATCGGATCCGTTTCGGTGTAGCTCAACGGTCGAGCGTTCGTCCCGGTAAGCGAAAGTTCGAAAGTCCGGAGTTCGAATCCCAGCGCCGATCATTCCCGACATGCTAACTCCGCGCCTTCAGCTTTAACAGCAGCTTTAACAGCTTTAACAGCTTTAACAGCAGCCTTAACAGCTTTAACAGCAGCCTTAACAGCTTTAACATCTTCTTTCCCCACCTGTACATCGTCTTTTTTCTTTTACTCCATTCCTCAACTCTTCCATTGATTTCCCGCTTTTTCAGTCCCTTTTCATAAACGATTTTTGCGAATCTCAGCACGTTTTCCGAATCGGAGATCGACAAGAAATGCGTTAAATTAAAAACAGTCAAGTCGAGGGAAAGATTTGAGTGAAAAAGGAGAAATAAAAGGAAAATTGAAGGGCTCATCTCTTAAATTAGACTTCAAAATAGTTAGCTACGATTTTGTACAATTTTCTGTATAAAATCTGTGGAGAAAAGCGAGAAACGATGGGGTTTAATAAACATTGCTTCGAAAAAAGGAGATCGAATCATTGCTTTCTCTTCGAGAAATTCGATACTCACCACGAAAAAGCTTTCGATTCGATTTATAAAACTCAAATTCTCCAAATTCTGCTTTCAAATTGTTAGCTAGAGCGTTAGCTAGAGATCGGGTAGAAAAAAAATTGAATTTAAAAACCGTTGGAATACAAAATCGCCTCAATGAATTCGATAGGAAAGGAAAATTTTGAGAAATCACCTTTTGAAATCATAATTTTCACAAAAGAAAACACTAGATTTCTTCTTGTGAAGTCTTTTTGTGCAAAAAAACAAATGTAAATATATTACACGTAAATCGTTACACGTAAATGTAAATACACGTTGAATGGCTCGAGAAACGAGGCTTCTGGGGACATTGAGACGCTTTGAGATCTCGCTCGCCTAAACACGCTGCCGCTTGAGCTCAAATAGGCATCATCGAGGGTAGACCATGCTTTGATGAGCGCCATCTTCAAACTTTCGATATTTTTATGTGGTTTTGGACATGCCCTGTCTTCAAGAACACTCCAGACTGAGTAATCCAATGGGTTAAGAACAATGGTTCGAGAAACGAGGCTTCTGGGGACGTTCAGGAGCTTTGAGATCTCGCTCGCCTGAACACGCTGCCGCTTGAGCTCAAGGATCGATTGTCTTGAGCTGATCGATTGTCTTGAGCTGATCGATTGTCTTGAGCTGATCGATTGTCTGGAGCTGATCGATTGTCTGGAGCTGATCGATTGTCTGGAGCTGATCGATTGTCTTGAGCTGATCGATTGTCTTGAGCTGATCGATTGTCTTGAGCTAAAGGATCGATTGTCTGGAGCTGATCGATTGTCTTGAGCTGATCGATTGTCTTGAGCTACAGGATCGATTGTCTTGAGCTGATCGATTGTCTTGAGCTGATCGACTGTCTTGAGCTGATCGATTGTCGATGTGCAGACGCTTTCACCATTCCTGAAAACAACCATATTAATGAATTGAAAGTTAGTAATCATACCATAAAATAAGAAAAATACACGTAGTGACGGGAGATGAGAAATGGATTATAACTGCAAAAACTTTCAGAGAAAACGACTGCAAAAGCTTTCAGAGAAAATGATAATGGTTAGGAGCTGGAAAGAAATTTATGTATGTTTCTTTATGGTGAATGACGAGTTGGTTTCACCCTTTTGGTTTCACCCTTTAGGGGAATAAAGGCAATGAAAAGAATCCCCATTTTGTCGTGTGCAAAATATAAACATCCCTTTTTTTTGTTGTCTAATCTATTCGTTTATATTTCTAAGAATGATTAAAAAGAATTTTTAACGAAAATGTTCTACTGATACAAAACTTGTAATCTAATCAAATAACATGCGCGCCGAGCTCGAGGAACGAACTTTTTAGACACCCCAAAACGAAGCCAATTGAGTTTTCAGCAAAAAACCAAAAAGCCTATCATAGAAAAAAAAACTCGAATTTTTATTTAAAAAAGATTTTATGAGAGTTGCTCGAAAAATTGCGGAGATATTTACAAAAAGAAAAAGCGTGGGACCACAATTATACCTTACCCTGTACAAAAATGAAATAACTTTGTTCAAATTTGTTCGTTTTTTTGTTTTATTTGGTTTCAAAATGAACAGAACAAGAAAAGTGACTTAGCGCTTTTGCAAATTTCGAAAATATAAGCGTTTTGGAACACGAAACCACTTGAAGGGAAAACTTCTGTGTGAAATTTCTTTTATTGGGTTGATGCATAATTATCCGGACTTCTTTTTGCGTGCTTGTATCTTTTTTGTTTTGAAAGCTTTTTGTCTATTTCTTTTTTTAAAATATTCGTTATTCTTTAGTGAACAAAATGCGTGTCGACAATCATATCCATCTTCGCCATATCATGCTCTACCACTTCGAAAAGGGATGGTCTGCCGCAGAGTCGTTTCGCGATCTCAAGAACTTTTGGTCAGGAACAATTGGACGTGCAACAGTTTATGAATGGTTCGATCGTTTCAAGTCCGGTAACACAAGTGTTGATGATGAACCAGGAAGAGGACGGCCATCAGAATTCGATGACAAGGCACTTCTGGAAGCCGTTGAAGAAGACGAAAGCCTGACAACCAGAATGCTGGCAGATGAATTCAATGTTGACCAGTCAACGATCGTGCGCCATCTCAAAAAGCTTGGCAAAGTATGGAAATTGGCTGGATGGGTCCCACACGAACTCTCCGAGAAGAACCAAGCAGATCGCCTTCGAATTTTCACCGATTTGTTGCAACGAAACGAGGAAGCACCGTTTTTGAAGAATCTCGTCACAGGCGATGAATCATGGCTGTTGTTCAAGAACCTCAAGAGAAAGAAAGTCTGCGTGTCGCCAGGTGTTTCACCTAAAGGAATACCGAAAGATGTCCACTGTAAGAGCAATGTGGTGTGTATGGTGGGACAGAAGCGGAATCATCCACTGGAAATCATCTCTAACGGCATCTGTTATTGGTGGAATGACGATGATGAACGTGAGCAATGGCGAATTCCAGACAAAATGGCAAGAAGCAATTGAACATCAATAGTGACGTCTACTTGGCACAACTTGAACGCTTACATGCTGCAATTCAGGCACGAAGACCGCGCAAAAGAACAACATCGTCTTTCACCACGATAACGCACGTCCGCACGTTGAGCGCCATGTCGTCGAATCCATCGCTAGTAAGGGCTGGGATCTTCTTCCACACCCGCCATATTCTCCTACTGAAGCCCCAACGGACTACCACGTCAATCGATCGCTCAAAAATTGGCAAACAAATAAGATCTACAACGATTTGGATGACTTGATAGACGATGTTAAAGCGTGGATTGCCTCCAAAGATCGTTTATTCTTCGCTCGTGGAATCGATCGTCTTCCAAGCAAATGGCAATCAGTTATTGATGTAGGCGGTGAATATGCTCCAGAATAATCAATTAAACATATTTTTCTAACTATTTATGTTATTTTTTGTTAAATAAAATCATTTATAAAAGAAGTCCGGATAATTATGCATCAACCCAATAAAAACTCAATTGCTGAAAATCTGTCGCATGGATTTTCAAAAAAAAAAAAAACATCGATTTTCGGAATCAGCACATTTTTCTAAGTCGAATGCCATGTTTCGCGTAAAATTCCGATAGAAAAGAAAGATTTTGCGATTTTTGCGTGCATTTGCGTGCATTTGCGTACATTTGCGATGTCGTAAAAGAAATGTATCCTCGTGGCGCGTAGGTGGCAAACTTATCAGCCAAATCGCATCAGCATCTTCAAATCAATCAAATCCTCTGCTCGACATTGCCTCTGCCCGACTTTGAA